GTTAGTAGTGAGACCATGCAACATGGGTAGACAATTCTTCAAATAATTAATATTTCGAGCCAACCAACTAATGAATTAGAGTAATGGATGTCTAGTTCAAGCCAACCTGAGAGCATTGTGGCCAGCAATGTAATTTACCTGTCAACTTGTGCATGTGTGAACGCGTGTGCATATATGTGTAATTACCAAAGTAATTACTCAAATGTAGTTACAGAATGAGAGCTACGCTCGTGGTGTCCCGTCTTCCCAGCACTCTATCATATGAGGCTTTGAAACTACTGACGGTTTTGACCTCCACCATTTTCTCAAGTCGTGAACAGTTTCTTTAATATTTCAGCGTCAATGTATTTCAAACTGATTCTGAAGTTGGAAAGGACAGCATAGGCACCTCGCACGATGTCCTTTATGTGGGCCTCGGGTGACAGTTTACTATCCAAAACTATTCCTAGACCTAATTCGTTGTCCGAGTTCTATCCTTAAAGCCTTTCACATAATTTGTAGGTTGTGTTTCTCCTATTCTATTTTCTCATATTCCACATTTTATAACATGGCATTTATTCACGTTGAATTTCGTCTGCCAAGCGTTGGTACCATACACTACTAATTTTGTCCAAATCATCTTGAAGGGCATTGCAATCGTCTAAGTGTCTTATCATTCCTAGTAGATCAGCATCATCAGCAAACATATTAATATAATTTTTGTATTCTCCATGATAGATCATTTATATGGACAATGAACATTATTGGTGCTAGAACTGAACCTTGTGATACTCTATTACTAACATTCCATTGCCTCTGATTACTGCCCTCATTCTTCTGTCAGAAAATGTCTTTTCCATGTCAGAAGTCTTCCTGTCACCCCTCCAGAATGTTCCAGTTTCCAGAACATCTTGTGTGGGACAGTCAAAAGTAGTTTTTAGATTCAGATAAATGCAGTGTGTGTACTCACCAATTTGTGAGTACACATGCTGCATTTATCTGGATCTAAAAAAATAAAAGAGGCTTTTGACAGAGTCCCACACAAGAGGTTGTTCTGGAAGCTGGAACATCCAGTGCAAACACGTTTGACTAACTGTTGGGCTTAAAGGTCACCGAAATATTGGAGGTCACCACCAAACACTGATCAGAGTAATACTCTCAAATATTACTTCGGAGTAATATTAGTCAATATTCAAAGCAGCAAATGACTGGATTATGGTCTTTAAGAACGTTTCACAAACTAAATACATTAGACGAGACACAATAAGCAGTCTTCTTGTGTAGCTAATATTTGTTAATTATTTCACTCATTTTCTTTCTGTATTTCTGTTCATTTCTTTCACATTATTATTTATTTTCATCTCATTACTTAGTCCTGTCTATCTTTGCATTTGTTTTTCTCTTTTTGCATATGTTTTTCCACAGCTCAACATTTCACTCTTTTTTTTTTACATCTATCTACACTTCTCTCTACACATCTCATTATATAAATTTATCTTTGAATCTCTCTCTCCTTATATCCCTCTCTATGTCTCACTCTCCATCTCTTCATATTGCCCCTAACAGTAGGCTTCACTTGGTAAATATGTGTGTTCGTTAGAGGCAGCCCCACCCCCTACCTTAGACCAGCATAATCACGACAACCCACCAGCTGTCTCTCATTAAACTGGGCCATGCGCTCCGCAACTCAAGGAGACCTGCACCTTAATACCTACCTGTATTCTTGGCCTTCTTAATTACCTGTATATTCTCTGCTGCGGGAGGGGGGGGGGAGAGGGGAGGGGGAACATATATACGCTGCACTCACTACTGCAGTGCACAGTTACAGCCCCGCTTCTGTGCCAGGTAAGTCCACTACGGGCTCACCATAGCCTGTGCTGCTTGGAACTTTTTGTTCCCAGTAATTGAATATTAAACAACAAACTACTGCAGTGTATAGTCTTATTACCCTTAAGATCGCAACCACCACAGGGTGTTGTGTGTGTGTTGTGTGTTTTTGTGGTTGATGGCGTCTACCTGGAGTGAGGTCTGACTCTGGGCCCCAACCTCATAGCACTTGTATAAGGCGCCACTTTAATCTCCCGGGGTTCTAGCGTTCTCTTGTGCATACTTCCTCTTGAGTTTATGGATTGGCGTGACTTCTATACCATCTGCTTCTAGCGCGTTCAAAGTGTTTAGCCTCTGAAGTCATGTGTTTAGCACCTGACACGCCTGCTTAATACCACGAATTTAACTTTAGATATTGTATTACCTAGGAGTGTAACGAGCCACAGGCTTTAGATATTATATTACCTAGGAGTGTAACGAGCCACAGGCTTTAGATATTGTATTACCTAGGAGTGTAACGAGCCACAGGCTTTAGATATTGTATTACCTAGGAGTGTAACGAGCCACAGGCTTTAGATATTGTATTACCTAGGAGTGTAACGAGCCACAGGCTTTAGATATTGTATTACCTAGGAGTGTAACGAGCCACAGGCTTTAGATATTATATTACCTAGGAGTGTAACGAGCCACAGGCTTTAGATATTGTATTACCTAGGAGTGTAACGAGCCACAGGCTTTAGATATTGTATTACCTAGGAGTGTAACGAGCCACAGGCTTTAGATATTGTATTACCTAGGAGTGTAACGAGCCACAGGCTTTAGATATTGTATTACCTAGGAGTGTAACGAGCCACAGGCTTTAGATATTGTATTACCTAGGAGTGTAACGAGCCACAGGCTTTAGATATTGTATTACCTAGGAGTGTAACGAGCCACAGGCTTTAGATATTGTATTACCTAGGAGTGTATCTAGTCACAGGCACTAGATATTGTATTATCTAGGACTGTAACTAGTCACAGGCTTTAGATATTGTATTACCAAGAAATGTAGTCACAGGCATCATATATTGTATTACCTAGGAGTTTAACTAGTCACAGGCATCAGTTACTTCACCTCGTGTCTATATACTCCTGGTAGCAACACCCCCTTCGTGTTACCTTCATGTACAAAATATAAAAATAATGGCAAGGAAAATACAAATACTTCCTCCTTTTAACACGACCTTGAAGGTTTTTTTTTTTACTTTCGAGTAATTACAAGAGGTAAGTAAGTTTAATTACCCGAGGCACTGAGTGTGGTGGTGGTGGTGGAGGAGAGTGTGGTGGTGATGGTGACGGTTTATGGTGGTGGGGGTCTGTGGTGGTGACGGTCTGTGGTGGTGACGGTTTGTTGTGGTGGGGGTCTGTGGTGGTGGGGGTCTGTGGTGGTGGGGGTCTGTGGTGGTGACGGTTTGTTGTGGTGGGGGTCTGTGGTGGTAGGGGTCTGTGGTGGTGGGGGTCTGTGGTGGTAGGGGTCTGTGGTGGTGGGGGTCTGTGGTGGTAGGGGTCTGTGGTGGTAGGGGTCTGTGGTGGTGGGGGTCTGTGGTGGTAGGGGTCTGTGGTGGTGGGGGGTCAGTAAACTGGAAATGGGGAGTGTAAGTGGATGCAGGAAGCATAGGTGTCAAGCGTGTGAGGGACCCCCAGAGTCCTGTTAATTAACAGGGAAGCTGTCTGCAGTCTCCTCACTACCAGGATTGACACCACCACTTCTTTGTTAGTAGTATTCACCAACAAACTTTACTGCGGAGGGTTATTTCAGAATTTTACAGAAACATTTACTTCAACAGCTCCATAATATGCTCTGATTGGCTTGCTTTGTTGGGAGCGCATCCCATAAGAAGCTCTGATTGACTCGCTCGATTGGGTACGCAGCCCATAAGTCGATTGGCTCCATTCATTGTGAACGCACCCTTTAACAAGCTCTGATTGGCCCAATTCATTGGGAACCCAACAATCTTAGATTCTGGCTCCTGGTATGCCAGATACCATATAGTTTGTTCTATTCCAGATGTCAACAACAGTGACTTAACAAGAACATTAGGAAGAACATTAATGAATTCATTACAAAATCGATCAATTATATGTTCTCAGCTGTTCATTCCAAAAAGTTACCAGGATGAACTGCGTTGACCCCAACATCTCGAGCGATCTCATAATGGGTGATGCTGCAGAAGATGAATGTCAGGGGACGAGCTTATCTTAGATGTATCTTGGAGAGTCGAGGTCTTACAAGGGTCACAAGTCATACTGCACACAAGACGGCTCGCATACCGATTTTAACGATAAAAACAAGGATTTTTAAGGATCAAAGAATCATCTTAAGGATTTTAACGGTAAAATCAAGGATTTTTAAGGATCAAGGAATCATCTTAAGGATTATAACGGTAAAAACAAGGATTTTTAAGGATCAAGGAATCATCTTAAGGATTTTAACGGTAAAAACAAGGATTTTTAAGGATCAAGGAATCATCTTAAGGATTTTTAAGGAACAAGGAATCATCTTAAGGATTTTAACGGTAAAAACAAACCTAGCCTAACACAGCCTTAGCCCCCAGGCTAAGTTACATCGTAATCTAAAGATAGTCACGGTTCTATCAGAAAAACTAGCTTTGGACGAGCCGATTTGACCCCTACGCATTGATGTCCTACAACGCAATGGTCTCATACACGGTTGATGCACAGGGACGCCCCTTGTCACGGAGCATGACTCCCTGGCAGACCCAGCAACAAGTCACGGAGCACCACCTGGGCTACGGCTCTGGCAGACCCAGCAACAAGTAACAGAACACAGCCTGAGGTTGCGATCAATCACGCCATGGAACACCGCCTCTTAACTAGTCACGGAACATTACCAGGATCATTCACACTTAGAGGAGAACTTATCAGTGTGAAAGACACATCAAGGCAGAGATGGTATAACAACTTGAAGAACAAATCCTGAGCGACCAATCGACGACTTTATAATGCCATTTGTTAACTGTGAGGCTGATAACGACCCGTCGCCACCGTGGATATCTAAATTGCAATTTAGATATCCAATCGCCACCTAATTAGAGTTATCAAGTAATATTCATGCTCCCCCCCCCCCTCACTGCATCATTCAAATAATAATTACTCTAGCACAATGTAACCTTTAAAATCAATGGCTGACTTACCTAAGAGACTGAGAGGAAGGGCAGAGAGGCAGAGTACAGTGGGGGTGGTCGGGAGCGCGAGGACACACACCCTCACCCCAGCACGGCACCAGCCACACTGACTCAATTGATCAGTAGCGACACCCGCCTCCACTACCACGCTAATCCTCCTATTTTAACCCCCTTATTCTTCATCATAATCCAATACCATCGTGTTAATTGATGATGCTAGTATGTAAACCTGTTTGCTCTACCTGGAGACATAGTGTTAGTTTACAATAGTAGGTGTGAGGGGGCTTGTGAGGCGAGTTTATGAGGGGTGGTGGAGGCGGGTTGTTCCCCTCTCTGAACACGGCCACCACGCCCCTCTTCCCCTCTCACACTACCTCCCTTGTCTTTTTCATTTCACTAGTTTACCATCTATTTGTACACAAGAACGGCTATTAAAATGCTGTATATACAGTATGTTAGCAGCTTTGCACATTCAATTCAGTAAGGTATATTTTTACCCTTATTGATGAAGGTTGCAATTGTTGTTCCATCAGTAATTGTTTTCAAATAATGTAACTCGATGATTTTTTTCTCCATAAGCTGGGGTGAGCTGGCAACAAATCCCAGACAACTGCGTAGGTGGCAACACAGCGGTTTGTTGCCATATAGCGATCATCATGAAGTACGTGATGCAACCTGTCCTTAGACCACTCCATTCCATCCAGCGGTCGACCCCCAAAGACGTATTCATAAATATAATGCTGTTCATGCTGTTCATTCAAAACAGGAATTTACTCAAATTCTCAAAAAATAAATTAATATTATTTTATATTACCATATTGTACATATTTAGGCACTGGTTAGGTTAGGTGTTTAGGTCCTATTTGCGATTATTTGCGTCCTCGACTCAAGTCCATTACATCCAGCGGTCGACCCCACCGATGCATTCATAAATATTTACATGTTGTTCATTCAAAACGGGAATTTTCTCAAATATAAATTAATATTATAATATATTAGCATATTGTACATATATATCCATAGGGTAGGTTAGGCTAGGTGTTTAGGTTCTGTTGGCGATTATTTGTATTTGTAGTACGTGGGTGAAGCATTTATAGCGTTGTGGTTCAACAAAATTCGTCAGTGAAGCACTTGTTCCGGAAGTGTTCGAACATCATCAGTTGTGAGTCGTGTGTAAACCGTTTTTCATTCAGATACAGGGGGTTTGGCGGGTGCATGGAATGGACTTTGGGTCTTTGTTTAGAGGACGGGTTTCGTAATGGTACCTGAACGAACCAATTGGTGCGAATTCAGCCCGTCCTCCAAACAAAGATCCAAAAGTGATTCCATGCACCCGCCAAACCCCCTGTTTATGAATGAAAAGCGGTTTACACACGACTCACAACTGCTGACGTTCGAACATATCCGGAACAAGTGCTTCACTGACGAATTTTGTTCGAATCACAACGCTGTAAATGCTTCACCCACGTACTACAAATACAAATACTCACCAACAGAACCTAAACACCTAACCTAACCTATCCTATGCCTATATATACACAATATCCCAATATTTAATAATATTAATTTATACTTGAGAAAATTCCCGTTTTGAATGAACAGAATGTTAAAATTAATGAATGCGTCTGTGGGGTTGACCGCTGGATGTAATGGACTTGAGTCGAGGACGGGTTGGCGAATTGCTGGTTTTGGCAGCTCGTCCGCGTGACCACTACCCACTTGTTCCTAAATTAGGTTTTTTTATGGTTGAAGATTGTTAATTAAGTAGACGAAAGTGGCTCAGATTAAGATCACTTTGATAGATATAGAAAATGAAAGGAGAGACGAAGTTTGCTGTCTTGAAAGCCTAATTAGTAATTTGTGAAGCCAAATTGGATATCCCTTGGGAAGCAATGAGTGTTAAATTCAAATTCAAAATTCAAATTCAAATCGGTGTCGGCACGATGCTAACTCGTATCACCTGGTTACAGATCACGCTACAATATATGCCCTTGTTTAGACGACGTATGTGACTTGTTAAGGTACTGACACCACTTGAAAAGTATTTAGAAATAGGAATGATTAAACTTACCTGAATGGAATGGGTATGAGAAATTAGGTAGATGATGGCATGAGGCAGGGAGTGGACGGTAATTTGAGAGTGGTGGACAGGAGGAACAGGGGGAAGAGAGTGTATGATCCCTCTTAATACGGAACAGGAAGTCTGTTAGGCTTAACGAGACCTGATTAAATTTCAGAGACAGCGGTTTGCTCCCTTACTAAAAATCTTTTCTTTTGGAGCTGTCTGTGAAGTACAGTGGTAGAGCTTTTTACCTCACGCACGTTGGGTCGAGAGTTCGAGTCTCCTAGTGCCCACAGAGTTAATTAAAATTTTAATAAGTTTGAGAATATCTCGTAGTGCAATTTTAAATTTTAGAAAATAATCTAGCTTTGGCTGAGCGTCGGTTGTCAGCGTTGTGTTGGGGCATATTGAAGGTTCAGGGATGGGGGGGGGGAGGAAGAAAGAGGGAGGGAATTATCAGGTGAATAATTATCAGGTGAATAGCGTGATGCATCAAATGAACAAATTGTGTAAAATCCTGGTTTGTGTCTCAGAGAGGCTGCAGGATCCAAGTTCAGTAGAACTTCTGGTTGCAATTCTTTTACCATGTCGTAGCTCAGTCGATTAAGGCAGCGTCTGGGATGCTCTCGGACGTAGGTTCGAACCCTCGTCACGGCCCTTGTGGATTTGTTCATTGCCATAAGTTACGTCATGTAACTGATATTGGCAAAGAAATGGGTAGCTGTCTAAGTCTGTAGTTACTAGAGAAGGGCTCAATATTTTACCTACACCTGACCAAATCTGTGCAGGTGGTAACGAAGTTGAATTGTTAAGTCGTTTCCAGAGATCAAGAAGGTTATTACACAGAAGGAAAAATTAAAAGCAACCAAATCCCCATGGTCTTGCCAGAGGTTCATTAGAATGTACGTCAAGAAACTGTCCTACTAAAGTCCCCCTTATCCTAACCTACCAGAGGACCCAAAACAGAAAACGGGACAGTATGTCAATTTCGCCAGCCGCTTCCATTTTCTAATACAACATTTCCTGGCCTTAGGTAGAGTATACGTCAAAATGCGACAGTGTATTAACAAGACGGTTGCAGTGAGCCCAGCATATCAGTGAAAGTCTGATTGTGAAAGGGATCTGGAGTCATGTTTAGTAAGAATTTAAAACAAAAAAATCACGACTCAAGCCTACACAATCGACTTGAGAATGGTCCAGGACGGACCGAAATGTCGTCGTCCCTTCACCTTCTAGTATGTAGTTTGGTGAACATATTTCAGCCACGTTATTGTGACTCCTCGTCTGCATTCTATGCGGGGTGGTTGATTTATGGAAGAAATTATCTAGTAACAATTGACGTGGGATCTCTTGACTGAATCATTGTTTCAAGCGTAGGTTACACATACATAATTTTGTTTATAATGAAAATGAGTTTGGTTAGAGATAAACAGGAATGAAAATGAGTTTGGTTAGAGAGAAAATGAGTTTGGTTAGAGATAAACAGGAATGAAAATGAGTTTGGATAGAGATAAACAGGAATGAAAATGAGTTTGGTTAGAGATAAACAGGAATGAAAGTGAGTTTGGTTAGAGATAAACAGGAATGAAAATGAGTTTGGTTAGAGATAAACAGGAATGAAAATGAGTTTGGTTAGAGATAAACAGGAATGAAAATGAGTTTGGATAGAGATAAACAGGAATGAAAATGAGTTTGGTTAGAGATAAACAGGAATGAAAGTGAGTTTGGTTAGAGATAAACAGGAATGAAAATGAGTTTGGTTAGAGATAAACAGGAATGAAAGTGAGTTTGGTTAGAGATAAACAGGAATGAAAATGAGTTTGGTTAGAGATAAACAGGAATGAAAATGAGTTTGGTTAGAGATAAACAGGAATGAAAATGAGTTTGGTTAGAGATAAACAGGAACTGCCTCGTATGGGGGGCCAATAAGCCTTCTGGGGTTTCCATAATGCTTATAATCTTTCCAGGAGAGGCGCAATATCAAACGTTGGCGCCTCACGTGGAGTGTCTACGAGGGTCACTCCATAGACGGTGAGTAGAGTCGCATATCTGACGTCACCCGAGTAGAGTAAGCAGTGTTGCCCTCACGCTCAAGCCACAATTCTGCTACATTTCCTCGCTCGACCCATCAACCATATTTCGAGTGAAAAGTGAAATTTCGGAAATTTTTAATTGCACGTAAGTAATAAGTATATACGGAGTTAAGTGCATTTACTGCCTAACTCTATGCCATCGACATTATGCTAAGTATTTGCTATATACTTCAAACTTCAAAAGTTAGCACATTTGAGTTATAACACTTTCTGCGGGATAACTATCACATACCATTATTTGCAAATTAATAATTCTTCATTTAAATACGATACCGTCGCACGGCAGGAACGCCAAGATATCTATATATTATCTTGTTTTCCAAAGACTTTATGAATGCAAAAAAATCTTTGTTTATTTCTCTTGTGACAACACCGAGGCGGAGTGCGCATGCGCGAGCCTCGCCAGCTGAGTGTTGAGCGTCTGGCGGAATAACCTGATTGTGGAGCGTCCAGGTTTCTGCAAATATTTGACCCCTTTTGACGCCATGTAACATTGCCACGGGCCTCCAGTGTGGGTAGATAACGTCACGATAGACGTAGGTATGTTGTGAGTGGGTTAAGTTTGATTTGTAGTGTAGGTAGCGGTCAGAAATAGGGTGTAATGTAGGGAAGACTGCAATTTGCTCGTCAGTTTTGAAATAGTTGGTGTGGTACAGCGCTTAATTAGTATCAAATAACGTATTTGATTACGTTTTTGGCTAGTCTGTGGCCCGACGAATGTTTGTGAAGAGATAAGTTAACAGTGTGCATTAGACAGCGAGAGAAAATATCTCAGGATTAGCGTGGCTTTGGTGCCAGAGTTGGACCCAATTTTTTTCGGATGGAAGCTATGTCCGTCGTGCCGTAATTTAGCCATATTATGCCCTCCACGAAGCACTCATTGGCTAAGTGAGTGGAGTATGGAATATCACTTGCCAGCTTGGATGTTGGAGAGCTTCAGATGACTTTGTAGGAATTCTACGTGGAGTCTACTCCTGGTGCCGGAGGCTGGCGTCCCTGTGGTTCATATTACAACCTGTAGGTTAACACACTCGTTTCTGACATGATTTCTATCATTTCAAACTTGGTTTCTGTCTCAATTGACCTTGTGCGGAGTTAGGGAGTGACTGGCTGGCGTGAAGGTGATGTGAAGGCTTTTTTCTGGTTAGTGAATGAAATGAACTTTGTGTTCATTCTACCAGTGTGTGTGTGTCATTCATTATTTGAATTGCTTGCTGTGTAATTTTTGGAGCCTTTGCAAAGGCGTTTGTATAGATCAGCAGTGACACCTTGGTTGGGAGTGGTGCTTTGTGTTTTCTTACCCTAGTCACTGCTGCAAGCGCTTAAAAGGTGTCAGTTACTGTGAGTGTTTTTCTGCAGTAGAACGATAAACAAAAAATAGTTCCCGTGTTCTCCAAGATCGTCATAGATTGTGTTTACACGCGCATTGTGTGAAGTGGGAGAAAAAGGAGAGTCGCTAGACAAGAGATTTTAATGACTTTACTGTTCTGTTTGCTTACAGTGCATACTTGGTTTCACTCTCCAGTTAGTATACATGACAAACCGGTGTGTGTTAATTACGACGGCAGGCATGAAATGCTCGGATTGTTTTGTACGTAAATGTACTTGCTTTGTAGACGTGTATTTGGTAATTACTTTGCCACACTGGGTTGGAGTAGGTTTGACAGCTCCTATGTGAACCATCTTCCATATTATTTGACCTGTGTAGCAGCAGTGGCCACACTCAGTCCTGACCTAGCCTAGTCATTAGATAGGAGTAGGAGATGAAGCGACTGTGATATCTTCCACCCAACTTTTCTGTGTAGTCATAAGATTTTTTAGTTTACACAAGCCTTCAGAAACCAGCAGTCTAATAGTGGGAAATTGAAAATGTTCTGATATTTCTAATGACACTGCTGTCGATTACTAGGCAAGTTTGGCTTTGATTGAGCCCTGGTCCCACGATTGTGTGGACGTAGATCGCTGTGCTATAGGTAACAGTATCCCTAAAGAAATACTGTACACTATACCTTAGTTGTGTAGAGAATATTAATTCTCAAGTACACAAGATATATACAGTATTGTAATTATCAGTTAATGTGTATACAGTGATGGGGAAATACTAGAGGAGCTGCTACAAAGTTTAAGATAATTTCAAGAGAAGAGGATGCATGACAGGATCTAAAAAAAAACTATTGATAACTAAGGGTGCAGAAAGTGTAAGACACATCTCAATGACAGGTAAGTACCATTTGTTGCATAGGATTTCCTAGAAAATGATTAAAAAGGGTCTCTTGGCACTTCTTGTTCCTGGTTAATGTCTTCACTGTTATCTTGCAATGATTTCAGGGCTCGACGTCCCTGCATCTCGATCCCTGACCAAGCCTCCTATTGTTCAGTAATCTTTTTTTTCATGTTACAGCTGTAATACTGTATTATATAGAGTGCAATCTACAAAATCGAAACCTTGAAATAGTGTAAACTTTAAAATCTTGACAATTTGTTTACCTAAACAATATTTGAAAGTTTGGAACAGGAAATCAAACTTTCAAAACCTGTTCGTAAGATCCATACCCACCCGGAATGTAATACTAGATGACCATATTTAAAAAAAAAATACTTTCTTTGTAGTGACTGTACTAGTCTATAAACAGTACGAAATAGTTTTACTTCGCGGGTGGCCCAGTACTACTGACAGTGGATTCCTCAAGAACAAGCAGTCTAAAGCAATGTAACAACTTGTTAGGCTGGCTATTTGAGTTTTTTTTTTTGGGGGGGTTCCTTTTTTCTTTATTTTTTTAGTAAAGGAATATTAGCAATAAAGCCTGACGAAACAGACAGGAGGAGGTGGTAGTATTTTAGTATGGGCAAAGAAGTTAAATTGAAGTACAATATTGATCTATACAGGCAGAAGTTTAATGACCCTAACTGTTTAATGAACCAAAACTCTTTATCATAAGTTTCTATTACTACATGTGTATATTAAGTTGTATACTTGTCTAGCAAAGATATTGTATTTTATTTTTGGCCATATACTTACAGTATTGTGTGTGTAATATTAATTATGTCGGCCTTTTTCCCATTTTGCTCGTTTATGGAGTATTTAATATTTTATGCAACCTTTATAATTATTCCTTAATTCTCAGGTTTGTAAAAAGTATGAGTGGACGCAGTGGAATGCTTGGTTCTAGTGGTTCATCACTAGGCGGTTCAGGTTCGTCGTGTGATCCCAGTAACCAGCCAATGGATTTGGCTCAGAAAACATCTACCAGATCTCTCGAGTCTGTAAGTATATTTCTTAGCCATATTAATTAAAAATTGTAGCTGTTAGTATTCGCTATAGTACTGTATTTTACATTTAGACCTAAGTATATTTCAGGTGCAGTTTCTTTTCAACTTTACACTTAGGTTGTTCTGCCATTTCTGTTCACAACTTATCCTTACAAAAATGAAGTTGTAATTTTATTGTTATCATAGAAGTACAGTGTTAGAAAGTTATATGTAAAAAAATAAGAACAAGTAAAACGGTTATTGTTACATACTGTAATGTCAGTGTGATGTTTACTGTACAGATTCTTTTACTGTCAATTGCTTATACTGTAGCAGTGTTTGTACCCTGTGACACTTCCTTGCACATTATTGCACAAGGATTATTGTATAGTTTGCTAGTACAGTATATTATATGGAAGCGATGCATTATAGTAACGAGGCTGAAGATATGAATCTCGTTCTTTCTTATTTATTTGCATGTCCCCTCCTCTCTTATTACACGAGTCTAGTCCGAGCAGTACTAAAACTGGATTTTAACTTGCATAGTAAGTTATCAAGCTATTTAATAGCACAATTTAACTTGTAATTTTTTCCATGTTTAATCTTGGATGATGATGAATGCTTTCTTGATTGCGGTTTGAAATTTATAATATATTGTACTTGAGTAAGAGCTTCCTGCTCTGTACTTAATGTTTTCTACACTCGGCTTGTTGATTCAACTGTTCCACGGAATTAGATCAGTATTGATGTAAATATCTGTAAAAATGTTAGATACTGACAGAAATGAGTGTGGCATTTGGAACGATGCAAGTCTTCCATATTTGAGGCTGTTGTGTATGACTTGAGTTCTTGAGCCACAAAGAAAAACTGTTTGAAAATATGTTTATAATACTGTATATATATATTTTTCTTTAGCACCCTCATTTTACTGACATACTATATTGCTCAATGGTAGTCATTGAACAGCCAGTTAGTTCATGGTGTGTGTGATAATTATCTCTTGTATATATATTACTAATATTTTGTAGCATTTATTTTTATTAATATTTTGACAAAGCCGTTTCATTATTTCAGGGTGGCATTGTGAAGAGTGGTGGTACTACATTAGTCCATTATACAACCGGTGGAGTAGCCCAGATATTAACTACAAGTGGAGGAACTGCCCATGTTGTTACTGCAAAGCCTGGTTAGTTGTCTTAACAAATATATATAAGGACATCCATCTTTACTGTATCAAAGGGTCTCCCATTGTCAGGAAGTAGGTAGGCTGTTACGCTTCATCAAGGTCCCCATAGATCAGTTACTAACCCTTGGATGTAATCCACGACAGTTGCCTAACTTTTAGGTGTCTGTTTACTGCTAGATGAACATAGGTATCAGGTGAATGAAAATGAACCCGAACATCTGCCCTGCCCTGGAAATGAACCCAAACATCTGCCCTGCCCTGGAAATGAACCCAAACATCTGCCCTGCCCTGGAAATGAACCCAAACATCTGCCCTGCCCTGGAAATGAACCCAAACATCTGCCCTGCCCTGGAAATGAACCCAAACATCTGCCCTGCCCTGGAAATGAACCCAAACATCTGCCCTGCCCTGGAAATGAACCCAAACATCTGCCCTGCCCTGGAAATGAACCCAAACATCTGCCCTGCCCTGGAAATGAACCCAAACATCTGCCCTGCCCTGGAAATGAACCCAAACATCTGCCCTGCCCTGGAAATGAACCCAAACATCTGTCCTGCCCTGGAAATGAACCCAAACATCTGTCCTGCCCTGGAAATGAACCCAAACATCTGTCCTGCCCTGGAAATTAACCCAAACATCTGTCCTGCCATGGAAATTTAACACAAACCAGCGTCCTGCCATGAAAATTGAACCCTGGCTCTTTTGGTTTTAAACTACAGGTACACTGATCACTGTTACATTCAGTCTATACGATGCCCTTAAATATTCTTACTAGGTTCGCAGAAAGGTGAAGCGACTACTGTCAATTTTTGTTGTGCTAGATTTTTTGGGTAAATAGAAAATTGCACTTGGTATTTATAGAAATCCTTGTGCGTTTACAGGATTTCATCAGACAATATGCTGATTTAACGTAGAAAAAAGTCAGAATGAGGAAGGGTAACCATGGCATGGCTGCCATTGAGCAAACATTGTTGGCTGTGTTTAGTTGCTGCACATGTGAACTAAATATTTTAATGCCGTGTATAACTAATATTGTATTATTAATTTTGACATAGTTGGACAAATTTCACAATGGGGTGTGACGGGTTGTGGTATCGCAGCTATACTGAACCAAGATGGTATGGATCTCCCTCACACAATTAAAAAAAAATGCTGCTATTGGCCTTGCAGTGTGTAAGTCGCAGGTGGAAACAAATTAAAATCATCAAATAAATAATTAAAACAATTTACTGAAATATTAATGAACAAAAATGACACATGACAATACTTGGCTATTATTATATAGCATATCAAATATGTAAATGAAAGTTTAACTCTAATGCAAAGCACAAAGATATACTGGTGTACTAAAGACAGCTACCATACCACCACGGCATCAGACACACGGCGTTGGCTGAAATCAGACGACGGTTGAGACACGCCAAGGTGTTCCAAGAGCACTAAGAGAGAGACTGGCTCTCCAGGGAGGCGGTGCCCTTTATATAGTCCGGCGGTGATGACTCATCCAGTGTCAATGCAAGGTGGACATCTGGTCAACTAGCAAACTGCTCGTTTGTGGCTGGCGGTGCCTTTGTGTTGAGCTGCACCACTGTCAGTTGAAGGCGGCTAACTGCTTGTTTGTGGGGACAAACTACCGGTTATCAGAGGCGCCCAGCTTGCCTCTTGAGTCGTACCAGGTCTTGCCAGGCCCAGGTGGGTATGGAGAGGTAGCAGGACTCTTCTGGGCTGGTGTAGATGTAGACTTCCAGTGCAGAGCAATTGAAGGTGAAGGGAAAAGGCAGTTCCACTGCTATGCAGAGGATTCACGTGACACTAATATTGTATTATTAATTTTGACATAATTGGACAAATTTCACAATGAGAAAGGTCTTCATACTTAAAAATAACCCCTATGGACGTATCTGCAAAAAACTTGAATTCACAAAAGTTGACTTGACAAACGTGTGTGGTTAAATAGTACAATTAATTATTCAACAGAATGGTTAAATACACACTAGAAATAACTTCTAAGTCTTTAAAATGGATTCCCACCACAATTGTTATTAGCTACTACATAGTTCATGCCTTTATGTAATCACTGTACAGTACAATGTATAGTTTTATCCTCTCCTCCTTCCTAATGTGTTTTGCTTTTCAAATGATAATATATGAGTGCCTGCTTGCATCAGCTTGAGACTAGTGTTCATAAAATGAAAGTTCCTATTAAAATTGGGCCATCGAAGTCCACATTGACGAGTTTTAGAAATATTGTTCCATGTAAATCTTAACTTTTTCTAGGCCTTTTATTGAACATACTGTATATGTATTAAATTAAGCCAAATATTTCATGTTAGGCTAAAGAATGCTTATTTAGGCCTAGGATAGGTTACGTTAAGCAGTTTTACTTTTTATTATGCCCTTTAGAATTCCAGTAGTACAAAATATGAACGTACTCGCGGAACAAAAGTCCATATTTGGTCCAATCCTTCCACAGTATAGGTACTACAATTTTTGGAAGCTTTGTTGATTTCTTGATACATGTATAACTCCATATGATACATATCATCATGATGCAGTACCTGTAATTTTACCAGATGTGCTTTTTGGTCTGTTGATACACACCAAGCTCAAAATCCCTATTGGTGTGACTTTCTGTTCATGTGTGTGTGTATGTACTATATTTACATTTGTGTATATGTATACAGGTATTATATGGTGCTATGAGTTGTATCTAAATTTTATTTTCAAAGATGTTCATGCAAGAACTTACAGAATATCTTTAAATGTTCCATTTTCTGTACTTCCAGTGGGTAGAACGGAAAGTATGGGTGTTGGAGGGCAAACAGTAACTTTAGTGTCCCGAACTTCTGGTTCACCAGCAGCTCTCAACCTAGCTTCTCCTGGGCCTGGTGGTGGAAGTGGCCCGTCTGTGCGTACAGTCGCCCATCCCGCATGCTCTACGGCTAATAACTCTATAGTCACCACTTCCGCTCATCTAGCATATCATATTCCAAGAGGAGCAGCAGCTGTTGCAAATATGGCAGCACCTCGGTCACAGACGGTTGCCACTCCCATTGTTAGAACAACAGGACAACCTCTGAACCACCCAAGTTCAAATATTCCTGGACCGTAAGTAATATTTCATTAAGTGCAGTACTGTGAAGGAAAAAATATTTTTAGTATGTAAATACTGTGTGCAGATAATGAGGCTGAAAAGAAATTAACCCAACCCTTACATATTAAAATAAATAAGTTATGTTTTGGTCCATCCTGGACCTTTATCAACTTGTAACGGCTACCACTTCATAAGGGGCACAAGACGGACTGAAATGTCATTATATGCACTTGCATTTCTTTTCATATAGGAAAATTGGCTCATTATGGTAATGTCTACTTATGGTTGTGTTTCGAATTTTCTTGGTATTTTCCATTGCCTAGTTACATAGTTCTTGTGCCTTGTTGCCTTGTATAGGTAGGAATTGATTAACAGGATTTCCAAATTTCTTAATTTTAAAATTACCTTTCTCAGGCATGTGATCCTATTTGCTGACTTTGTAAATTATCCTTGTCTGTGTCTTCTACCCGCATTTTTTTTTTTTTTGTAAATTGTTTTAACACGTCTTCCATATTGTTTTCAGTACTTTATATAACAATTAATCCATGTACAAAAATGTTCATATGGAATAGTTTTGACTTCTTGTCTACCTGTGGACACTGGAGAGATAAGCTTTATTGCAGTGGCTGTAGTTCTTACAGTTGTTAGTTTGATTAAATTTGTTGTATTTTAAATAAAATTCTGACTACTAGCAAACAATTTTTTAGTCTTTCTACACATTTGTTATGTATTTTTTGGTGGCAGGCGGAGCGGTGTGCTGGGCCAGCGTGTGGTGCCTGTGTCTACAAGTGCTGGATGTTTTCGTGGAGCACCGTCCCCGGCTCACACGGGCAAAATAAGCCCAGCCATTCATCAAAACGTCACTGGGACTAGTCTAAGGTCAGTTAAACTGAATAGCTACGATTGTCTTTATATTAAAAAAAAAATCCAAGTACCTGTACTGTACAGTACAGTATTTCGATTTTTTAAGTACATGACTAGTCTAAGGTTAGTTAAGCTAAATAGCGAGGATTGGTTTTTATATTTAAATATATCCAAGTACTGTACAGTATTTAGATTTTTTAAGTACATGAGGCATTCATAATGTGTAGTAAAGTTACTGAAGTGCAGATTTAGGTATGTTGTTTAGCTTGAAGTATTGAATGGCATTGTTAATAAGGTTATGATGCTGAACCTAATAATTATTATTATTATTTACAAGAACAAAGGCAAGTGTATTTTATAAATTTAAGTTACGAGAATTTAAATTGACTGTTAAATAGAATATTGTAGGCATTTAAAATATGCAAATATTTTTGCTCTTTAATGGTATCCTTATTCTTGTCTGTGACAATGTTAACTAGGTTCTAGAATGTAAGATCTGAAGCAGTTTATATTTACACCCCTAAGGTAAAAATATTTTTTGTTTAAACCTTCATGGTGTAAGATTTGTATGCTGAGCATCTTTTACAGTGTTACCTGGATACTTATCTTTTATGGTCACTCCTGTAGAGGGGAGTTCCTAGGAGGAGCACTGTGTTTGGTGCAGATGATAAGTCACGATAACATGGCTGAAGATATGATGACCAAATTAAACATCAGAAGATGGAGAAACGACGACGTTTCTGTCCGTCCTGGACCACTTATAAAGTCCTTACACACGACTTGATAATGGTCCACAATGGACTAAAATGTTGTCGTTTGGTCATCACTGTGTTTGATATAGGTAAAATAAGTGCACAAAAAAAATGTGTTTCTAAGTGGTTTGTTATTTACTGTAAGGAGTGGTTGAGCAAATGGGTCAAACAAAAGTAACATACTTTTCTAAATTGCCCAAATTAAACAGGAATGAAATAATTATTCACAGTCTTGGAGTTGCACGAGGATCTATGCCTATGACACGACCGGGACAGCCATCAGGATCCATAACGACTTACCATGCTGGTGGAAGGGCCACTGGAGTGCCTAGTGGACCCATCAGGACAGCTGGAAGCAACACAATGAGAGGGATGGTTACTGTTGATGGGCCGAGGGGAACGGGCCCAAAAGCCGTTCACATAACACAACCTATAGTTCAACCTCAGGTGAGACTGCAATTGAATACATTTCTTCTAGATTTATTTAATTTGCTAACTATAATCTGCATAGTGCAGCTTACAAGATTATGTAATCACAACAGGGATGTGTCCTGTATTTGATAGGAAGGTATTTAAATGAATTAGCTCTGTTTATAGTTATCTTCAAATGTACTTATGCATAAAGAGATTATCTTCTGATTATTCAATGAGCTGAATAAATTAGCCAGTGTTTAGCCTAAGGTGGAGGGGGGAGGAAGTACATAATGGACGCATACAAATGTGAGAAAATGTATAACAGTAATTGTATTAATAGGGTGCTAATATAGCAACATAAGTGGTTGTTTTAATAGTGTGCTAATATACCAACATACAATAAAGCCACTATCATGTATGCAAATTTGGTAAGATTAATTTCAGAAAAGAAAGAATGGGGTAAATACTAGTTTGGAAATAGTGTTTCGTTGGTTTATGGAAGAGGATGCTGTATAAAATAAGACGTGGGGGTTGTGGAATTGTTTCAGTTGTAAGAGTGCCATGAGATTTGGAATTTGCTTACCTATCAGTGACTATGGGGGGAGTGAGATCTAGATCTTTATGCTTCGTTTTCTAGCCGTTTATACCTGGCACACTAATATCAACATTTTCGTCATATTTCCTTTTAAAGTTGTCGATGGAGTTGGCTTCAACAACCTCTTCCTTCAATATATTCCACTTTCTTAATACCTGTACTGGAACAAGAACTTCTTGTTTCTTTTCAACTAGATTGCATATTCTGCTTCCACCAAAATTCCCTTATTCTACCTTTCACACATTTTCCTCTATTCATGTGGTTTTAATGAAATGGTTCAACTCGGTATTCACTCGGCACTTTAGAATATTTAATATTTTAAGAGATGGGCATGATTTGTATATTTATAGTTTTTGAGACAAATGCCTGACTTAGTGGGCTTTCTCGATTGGAAAATATTTAGAAGAGTATTTTGTTTTTGCTAGTTTAGGTTGGAGGATTTTTATTATTATTTGGACTGAAATATATTATTATATAAAACTGAAATATTTATTTGCGGTATAGAAATATGGAACATCAATGAGTGCCGTTATGAGTGGAGGAGGTCGTGGCGTCACACAAGTACCTGGAGCAACATCGTGTTCTACTGGTACCATCTACACGGGGAACCCCCTTGTTACCACCATGGCTGGTCCGAACATCAACTCCCAGGGCACTATGAGAACTCAGGCCCCATCAGCTATTGCTGTTAGAATTACTACAGCGCCCAGTCCAAGTTGTCCTTCGTCGTCAGCGGTAAGATCAGTGATTTCAATTTGTGGAAGAGGGAAGGTACAGTGCCGTGGGTCAAAATAGATGGAATATCTGTTGTCCTGCTAAAGAAAGGGGTGAAAATTAGAAATATATTTGAGGAATAAAGTGATAATTACATGTAAAAGTGTGTACAAATATTGAGGTATATCTGGTTAATAATGTTGAGTCGTGTAGGTGTATGTTGCACATTGCTGGTGGAGGAGTGAGAGGAAGGGCTTGGTGGGAAAACATGGCAGTAACAACACTTGATAATTATCATGTTTTGTTTTGTTTGCTAAGTTGGGTAATGTGAAAATATTAGTGCAGCAAAAACAAAACAAAAAAAAAATCTGAGAATGAATGGAGAGAAGAAAATTTAAATGAATATTTTTGGAATGTAGGAAGCATTTATGGAGATGAACATCTTAAATATAAATGTGGAATGTGGTTAAAGCAAAAAAGACCCGGTTAGGCGGAAGACAACGTGGAGAGGTGCAGCTGGAGGGTTGCATGGAATGTTCACTGTATGTCTGGCTGACAAATTGGAATAAGAATGTATGGTGTTTTGATGTACACTTAATATTTTGTTTAGAGATTTTAACATTGTGAGCTTTGTATCTGAAGTGGGTGTTTAAAGTTTAATTTTTCCTATTAAAATATGTTTGAGAGATGTACTGTAGTAGTTTAATTGGATATTTGTCACCTCCACCTTAATGTGATTGATCTGTATGTAGTCATAACCATATTACTATTATATTATTCCCACATTATTGTGGTTTTGATCTTGTATATGCAGGTAACGTCGCAGGCTGGTACACACATTGGAGCCATGTCAATGACTACTTCCTCGGGTGCTGCTCCTGGTGCCATTTTGACCCATCATCCTACTATGCAGCGAACACATCAGGATCATCATGTCCCACTCAAAACACCTATTGGTTAGTATTTATTAGTTAATTGTGCTATGTATTTAGGTAATGGTAGCTAAGGATTTTGTGGTACTGGTGCCACAGTTTTTGCTGGAGGAGTTATTGGACATGAAGGGATAAATGAGGGTGAAGAATGAAAGTTATTGATAGATTTCTTCCATCTTTTGCCATGCTGGTTTTGGTATGATGGAAAACATTTTAAAAAGCTGATGTCACATGATGACAGAATCAGGCAGTAACATGCATGAGGAAAGTGTGGACAGATTCAGAGTAGGAAAACTTCTTAAAAATGAGGTATGGTCAGTATAGTAAATGGGGGAAACTCACAAAGATTGACATAAAGGTAGAACTGTTTGAAGGTGATGAAAAAGTTATAAAATGGCTGTGCAAAATGTGAGTGTCCTTATGAAGAGGGAGAAGTCAGATAACTATATCATTAATATTAAATACTTAGTGTACAGTATATCTGTTTTTACTTAAATAATTCCAGGAAGTATTTATTTTTTTACCATAATCTTGATCTGTATTTTCAGTGCGAACACCTGTAGCTGCCCACCATACGAATAAATCGGGTGTTCAGGCTCAATCCCTATCATTTACCGATGGCCCCAAGGTGATCACACAACCTGCTCAAGGTCCACCTCTGGCTTTAGCTCAGATCTCTGGGCTGGCCAGCGTCAATACCCACAAGACACAGGTCAACACGCACACAGTTCAACAACATTCTGCAAGTGTTCAGCACAGAGGTTTGTAATTAAGTTTTGATTAATATTTTTGCGGTTAATTTATGTAGTATGTATGCAGGCGATAAGTCGCAATAACGTGGCTGAAGAATGTTGACCAGACCACACACTAGAAGGTGAAGTGACAACGACGTTTCAGTCCGTCCTGGATCATTCTCAAGTTGATGAAACCTACCAGGTTTCCAACTGAATCGACTTGAGAATGGTCCAGGACAGACTGAAACGTCGCCGTCCCTTCACCTTCTAGTGTGTGGCCTGGTCAACATGTAGTATGTATGATTAGATGTCATATTCTGGAAGAATGTAATAGATAAAATTATGATTAATACATCTTCCTTTTGTCACATGTACAGTGTTTGATCCCACTCCAGTGTTTTTTGGAAAGAAAATAAATATCTAAGAGCCAATTCAGTTTTGGTTGCCGCATTTGCAGCTTGTTTGGAGACTAAACTATGAACTCACTTGAACAAACTTTGGGGCAAAAGTTGATTTGTTGCATGGGGGATTTTGTTTGATTTGTCAAGCCCATGGCAACCCCAAGGTCAATTATTTTGGTAATACTGTTTTGTAAGGGCAGTAATATATGATGCAATAATAGGTTCACTCTGGTAGTTGTGTGTTATATTTTGTAAATAATAGTTTGAAAATATAATTTATGAAAATCATAATTGAATTTTATAAAGATTTAATGCCATGTACAGTAGTTAACAATTAGATTGGGTTGGCTGTTAACGTGGACACATCCTGGCTGGCTGGTTCGTCGGTGGCTTAGGCGAACAATCTTCACAAACATCTGTTTGTTTGATCCACTGAACAATTTGCACTGAACACGGAACTGTTCGGCCCATACAAGATTTCGATAGAGCGAGGTTTGTTAGAGCAAGGGGCTACTGTATTTAGTTGTCTTTTCTTTTGAGGTTCCCTTGTAAATAACCCAAAGGTAATTCTCTAAGAAAAAAATTATATACAGTACAGTATTAGGTTCTACTGAAGCTGGAAACCTCTATCTATAAGGGATCATAATTATTTTAATTATATTTTGTAAAGTTTTGAAGTATAGTGCTGTATTTTGATGACAACTTGTATTCATCCAGCAGGTGGAGGAGTTGTAGGTGGTGGCGTGGGTCGTGTCATGGGCGGGTCAGCAATCCCAGTGGCTAAAGTGCTTCCCCAACAAGCCACTACAACTACCCAGGGACCAATATCTGTAGCCACTGCACCTAGACAGTCTCACGGGCAAGTGCGGGCACAGTCTCCTGGACAGGCAACTGATGGCCAACCAGCTCACACTAGTGTGTTTTTGCATCGTGCACATGCTGGTAGGTTTCACTTGGTCACTTTGTTGCATTTCATGTATTAATTTTTTCCAGGTCTTGTGATATGATGGTCTTCAGGAATTTTTGCAATGGTACTACACCAGAATTTTTAAGATTTTATGGGGTGTGAAGACATGAAATGCACAACAAAAAACACTATTAATAGCAAATGATTTGCTTTGAGAGAAATGTAGATTCATACTCCATGTACATGGCATAACAAGTTACAACTATTTTATTTCCTTGTCTGTTCCTTCACGATTCAAACATTTCTTACTACAATAACATGACTATCAAAGACAGTGAGCCCTCGGATCAAATATCACCATGAATACTGAAGGAAGTTATTGAAACCACGCAGAAAAGAGATGTGGGTGGAATTTTAGGCTACCAGAAGGCCTTTGTTACATAGTTGTTCTCTACAAGAGATTGATTTAGGAAAGGAAAAATAAGCTGGACCTGGATTCATCAAGCAGTTATGCAAGTACTTATGACCCTGTACATCTTTTCTCAAAATTTTGCCTCCTTTGTTTACTTATATTTAACAGTTCATGAGCTCTAAAGCACTAGGAGGCTGTTTATAACAATAATATTTGACTGGAAAGTTTGGATGCTAGTAAACTGTTGAATAAATGTAAACCAAAGATTGAGAAGATATACAGCTTTGTAAGGGAATGCGTGTTGGAATCCTGGTCCTAGAATAATCGGAAAACATCATGACTAGATGTAATGTGCTGCTCATGAGCTGTCAGAAGCTGAGCAAGGATTGTCTGCTTTATTCTTAATGGAGACTGTGTGAAGCATTAACCTCTGTTAAGGCCTGCACAATTTCTGAAGTTCAACCAAGAAATGAACAGCATTATTAGATGCCACTATCTCTTTGTGTATTGTATGTGATTATTTTACATATTACATAAAGATGATAACAAATAATTTATTAGTGTCTTAACCTATAATTCCTGATGCCTGTGCATATGATGACACCTTCAGTAGTTTACTACTTTTAAGTTTAAAATCTTGGATAATAGATTGTATCTTTATTTCTCGCATTGTTTTCATAATTCACAATATTGCTATTTTTCCCTTGTTACCAATTCATTGAGCTTAAAAGAATGCATTATACAATTCTCTATATGTTACAGGGGTTACAGTAACCAGTGGTGTAACGGTGGGCCAGGGAGAGAGAGTTGTGACAACAATGCCACAGTACAGTATCACACCGCCGTATTACTATGACCAAGGACAGAATACCTATCAAGTAAGTACTCGTGTTCTATTTAACCTGCATGAAAATGTCTTCTTATTTGTAGCAGTCATCAAATCAAATTGAATAAAATATAGATAGACCAGATAGGTGAGGGGGGGGGGGATAAAGTGGGGATAGAAGAATAGATTGGGGGAAGAGTGTTTTAGGGGAAGATAATGTACCAGCACTTGACGCAGTTTCACGGTAATATATTAGACTGGTCTGGGCATAAGAGGCAGCATCTTATAGCCGTTATCATTGCCTAGCATATATGTGCCTTGAACGTAAGTTACATTAGTCTCTTTGGCACCAATCAGATCAATGTGAAGTGGGAAAAAAATTGTGATTGGCAACATTCAGAACTGAGGAAGATGAGTGTAGGATTACTTGTAACTATGACTTTATAAATTAGATAATGTTTGTGGATACCTCCATGTACACTTAAAACAAAAATAGATATTTCAGTCAGTTTTATTACATTTGATCGTGGATATCATTTACTGTATATTAGGGTTGGAATGGGAGAGAGTAAAGAGTGCAGGATAGACAAAGTATACTTTCTCAGTAATTTATTCCACATCTTTGACACTCATATGTCTCGGGTATATATATATAATATGAATGATAAAGAGTAATTAGTTTCCCCATAACTTTACCACTTTGTCTTATTAGACTGCAAAAATATGGCGTATTTCATTACTTGTATATACATTACATGTATGCTTTTCCCTCTCTTTTCTTCCCTTTTCCATAGTTCACTGCCTCTTTGTCTCCCGCCATTCCTCAGTCTCCTCCTCGTTTCTCTATCATTTACTCTTCCCTCCTTCTCACCACTTTCCCCAACCCCCATCTCTGCTATACAGTATAGCCTTCCTGGCTGGGCACTTTCTTTTGTTAATTACTTAGTTCCTTCCCTCTCCCTTCTTTAAAGGTACAGAATTTAATTCTACGCTAGCAAGTAGTGTGTGTACAGTGCAAGCTTTCTTGTTGGAAGGTTATATGATTTTTTGTTATAACAGGTTAGTGGAACAACCCTTGTACCTCATGCCTTGAGTTCAACCCACTATGTTCCTGCCAATATGCAAGGTGGAAGTTTGCGAGTAACAGCTGGTCCCTCCAACACCAATGTTGTTGGTGGGAGTGGAATAAATGGACCGGGACAGATTGGAGAAGGCCCATCTGCTCAGGGGACTGTTCCTATGCCATCGATGAAGCCAAATTCATCTCCTAGACCATCCATTCTAAGAAAGAGGCCTGAAAATGATGGGTAAGTAAAGTTTTAATAAGTGTACTCGTACATGATGCTAACCTTCAAACATTACCATGATTCCACACTGGAACACTTGGCTGTGCTGTCTTGCCATTATTTCTATATTACCCATTTATTTATCTATATTCTATATTACCCATTTTACTATAAGCTGTTTTCATAACATGGTTTACTTTTTCCTTTTGTTTGTGCATATGCAGTGTTCAATTACCCTTTACTTTCCATACATTTATATTGGCTGTTGCCATCCTCATTCTTTTATGTGCATTCATGCTTCTCATTTAATATGGCAGCCATGTTCCATATGAACACCAACTTGAAGACTGAACTTGATGTAGGATATGCTGCCAAATAGGGGGACAGATTTCTAAGAAACTGCTCCTATTTTCCTTGTTAACATAATTTAATTTTTTGTTATATTATGAATTTTATTAGTGTTTTGGCTGTACTCTTTTATACATGTGCACTTGCTAAAGTTTCAGCTATCTTTTAACTTTGTCATTAGGACTGTCATCTGTTTATATCATGTTTGTGTTGTGTGCGTCAGTTTGACATGGGCTATTGCAGTTATTAAACTTAATTGTGAATGGAGCACAAAGCTTCATAAATGATTTTGTTTATATTGCTGTATCTAATGAAAAATGCTCTTTAGTTTTAGTGCCTTATTTTTATTTATTTATTTATTTTTTTGTTCACAGAATTCCTCTGAAAGCAACGAAAAACCTGACTGCCGCGCTCTCTCTTCCCATGCCCTCTCCGCCATCACCAAAACGACCAGATTCACGGGGTAATGGCAATGCGTCCTCAGGCTCTACAACTATTTCTGCTAATTCTTCACCTGGTGAGCATATACTTGTACATGAGGGACATAGTGGAGACACTACAATCTCTTGATTTAGTGGTAAAGCTTGTTGTACAGGCTGAATGTAATTTTTTCTAGTACAAAGTAACTATTAATGTCAGCAACAAGCTCAAAACATTATGGGGACATTAAGTTTTATACTACTTTAATCCTCAAAGTGCTGCTAAGTGATTGTTTTGATCATCTAGTGTAATGCAGTCATATAGTGATTTATGTTTTGTCAGTATTGTATTTGAATGTTGTTGATGTCTACATTGTTTCAGTAGCTCAGTAGTGTCTCCCATCAATTACAGCAGGGCACAAAATAATTTGCAAGTCTGATGGAACAGCTCCTAGTCTCCCATTGTATGATGATTGTGCCTTATCTAGGTCAACATAAAGATCTTCACTGTATATTATTATTTTGCTGTTCTATTTAATTTTGCAAACATTCCTTTTGAATAAGGAAAAAAAAAAGTGTTTTTGGTCCTGGCTTCCATCACATTGTCCTATTGATGAATGTCAGGAAATTTTGCTCATTGCTGAGGCCAAAATGAGAAAATACATAATTTTTGTTGTATATTCCATATATTTTTTAATACAGATCTACCATGTCAGGAGGAAAAAGTAAAATAATTATTAATTTATTTAGCTCAGTCGGGAGGCCAATTTTAACGATAGTTGCACTTTGAGGCTTGATGGCCTGTTCCCATCTTGCAAGTCCCCTTTGATATTGTGCTCATTAGAACTTGCCATCGATGCTATGTTCCCTCTTGTGCCCCCTTGGTCTTCCCTCTGAGGTCTTATTCTCTCTTATTACTCCTCTTCTGCATGCAAGTTGCCTAATGTAGAGTCTTAAGCTATTTTCAACCTTTGCAAGAATATAAGGCTTGGTCTAAAATGTGTGAAGCAGTTACGTACTGAATTGTCGTATGTTTTCTAGTTTGAATGCCACATACATCACATGTTTAAAATCTCTTAGGCATGCATAAATAAGTGGGAAGGTGTGGGTAAAAATAGAGAAACAAAATTTTTAGAAAGATAAAAAAAAATTACCATTGTAATATGTGATGTAAAAAAAAAAGTATGATTGAAGTAGTGGTGTGATTATAACCAAACAAAAGTTATGCTGTTATATCCTTCGTGATACTAATGACTCATTATACATGCTAGATAGTTAATGTTCAATACCTAAGGCAAATTCTTGCCGGCTCCTACTGCTTTATTTATGTATAATTCCTCATGGCAGGGGTGGGGAACCAATTTGGGAACTTGTGGTTAAATTGGTGATAATTTTGTAAAAAGTTGTAAATTGCCACTGGAGAAAAAATGCTTGAAAGTATTCCTAAAGAACTCTGTTTAGGCGACCAATTAACTGTGTATGCATGACATCAAAATAGTGACGAGTATTACGAACCAATTGGCATGTGTGCTCATTGGTTTCCCACTCTCGCCTTAAGGTATATTTTTAACACTTAGTAGTACATCATCCATGATAGTTTTCACTCATCGTTCATCACTATCATTTCTCCACTCTGCTTTGATCTTCAACACCTGAACCCATGTTAATTTCTTTGTAGATCTGTTGATGTCTGTGAGGACATTTCGATATGACCAACATATGACATATTAAGTTTCACCTGAGGTAAATGTGGATTGTCATATGATCTTTTGCAATAGAGAAATTTGAGAATTGGGCTTTGGTTTTAATCTTAATCTCTGAACTACCAAAGCTTGACATTTCTGGCATTTATTACTAAATAAGATAATGGCTTATTATACATTATCCATTAATTAGAAGAATTTTTAAGCATATGACAGCATTGTGCTTGGAAATGTTTATAGACAATATTGTATTAAGTTTGAGACTTGCACTGCTGTTCAGCCACAAGCTAATCATTCTCTTCATTTTTACTTAATTTTTAATGATAACTTTTAATTTTTGAAGATTTAAAAAAAAAAGGCAAACTTATAAAGACTTGTAGCAGATTTTAAAATCATTTCAACACCATTTGCCTCAGTTGGCTTAATTGCACACAATATGAAAAGAAATTTGCCAATTATATATTTTATGCCATTATTGCAAAAAAAGGTTAAAGATGCACTAAGTTTTAAAGCTGCAATTTCTTCTTGTTTGAAATGAGAGAAATTTATATAATTTTCTGAAAATGGAACCAAACTGTGTTTATGGTGAGATTAAATATGTGGCCTTCTGGTCAGATTTTGACAAGAACTAACATTGTTTAGACAAGTAGTAAGGCATAGCAGTCCCACCATGGCCAGAACCACCATTAATAATGCTCATGAATTTAGACGAAGGGTGAAGCAAGGTGCTGAAGTTTCTAGATGGAATCATGTTGGATACTGGTTTCTGCAATGTACATTTGTGTTTATTGGAAATGTTGGTACCTAAAGTTTTCCAAATACCAAGGTGCTAGATAAGAGTAAACTGCATATAGTATACTAATGTGTGTGTGTGTGTATGTGTGTGTACTCACCTAGTTGTGTTTGTGGGGGTTGAGCTCTGGCTCTGGTCCCGCCTCTCAACTGTCAATCAACTGGTGTACAGATTCCTGAGCCTACTGGGCTCTGGAATCTGTACACCAGTTGTGTGTGTGTTTGTGTATGTGTGTGTGTGTGTGTTTATGTGGGATACTAACCATCATTGTTCTTGTGCTCTTAAGACTCTTCCTTATCAGGACTTCAAATAGAAGAGATGGATGGGAACACTGCCTCGGGGGGTGGTACTGACACACGCACTCCTCCAGGCATCAAGCAAGAACCACCAGAGGATGCTACTCTTGTGCTACCAAGGCTGCCATTACACTCCATCTCGACTACGGATTGTTCTGGCAGCGTGACGGCCACCAGTATCACCACTACACTCTCCGTACCCCAGCCACCTCTTTCAGTCACTGGTCTACACGGGGCTGCTCAGATGCTAGCTGACGGGCTTTCGCCTAGGAAAAAACCAAGGAAACAACAGCTGTAAGTTATAGTCTGTGACAAGTGTTAAGCTATCTCTTTTATAACCTACAAGTCTTCTTGCCTAGGCATGCTAAGATGGTTCTTATATGCCCTTCATGCAACCAAAGTTTTGGATAGCTGTCGAGACTATTTATCATTTTATAGTCGTGTTTTTCTTTGGTATCTCAAAGATGCTAGTACTTACCAACTGAATTACCTGTGTTGAGGATTCTTGAGGTTATCTTGAGGTTACCACTTCAAGAAAGAAAAAATAGCTCGAAAGAAAATGCTGGCATTTTTTCCAATCTCTTCTCCTCAAACTCACATTGTTAAATAATTGCCATTAGTTTTATAGTATTGATATCAACAAAAGCTAATTATTTTTGTGAATTTTTCTTTTTTTCATAAAATCTTATTTTTGCAGCATGGGTAATGAACTCCAGGAAGCTCGCTCCAGTGAGGACGATATGGATCATCCACCTTTGAAGAAAAACAAGCGGGATTTGACAGATGATAATCATGGTGTGTAAAACATTTGTGTTTGACTTGGTAGTGTTTTAGTTAAAGTAGGCTCCACGGATTTTTTTTCCTGCTTCATTTGTGGGGAGAAGGTATAATATTTAGGTACTGTATATCTTACGAGACATCAGCATTTGTTAATTTACAGGGACTGCAGTATGCGTAGAATGCTTTTATCTGCCAGCTTGAAACTTTATTTATATATATATATACACACATCATGGCGCAAGGAAGACTCCTGTTATTGGGCCATGTATCTCAAAGAGGAGCAGGGTTGGGGGGGGGACTGCCAGTAAAATTTGTTATGTTTAAAGTCTTCATCAAACATGCCCTAATGCCAGCGGGTAATTTCACAAGTCTTTATTGCAAATAATACCCAAAGAGGTTTTACAATAAGTGCAAGTTTGAAATTTGTCAAGAGAACAATTAACCACTTGGCTGTGACACTTGTTGTACAGCTTAACTCCACAAAGGGCAAGAGAAAAGCAGCCCAAAAAGCAAATTCTGAAATCATTTGCATTTATTACTTATCTAATAAGAGAGATCTTTCCAACGTTTAAAAGTAGCATTGAAATTTTATCACACCTAACTGTCGGTAATTCATATTCTTAATTTAATATTAATTGGAATAAACCAGTTTGAAAAGAAATATTTTAAAATAACGATAATCACTGTTAGTTAGGCAAATCGGGCCTTGCATACTAGGCCAAGTTCTTAGTGCAGTTCTGGTTAATGTGTACGACATATATTTATTTATATTTTAAGTGAATGCCATCTTTTTGCATTCCCATGCTCACCATTAATTACTCTGTAAATAATATACAATTTGTAACACCGTAAGGTGTTTGGAGGCGCCTCTCAAATTCTTGTCTCTGACTCATGAACTATATATATTTTTAAATAAAACTAAACCAAACACCTTACGGTGTTACACATTTTCAGACTTGGAAGGCAGTGACGAGGAAGGTGGCGGTGGTTGGTCTGAGCCGGGCGGAGGGAGTAGTGGCGGCAGCTGCGGCGGCGGCAACGGGGCTAACACCATCAGTGCCACTGTAGTTCTCACCAACCGACCCACCATGTCGCTCTTGAGCAGCTTTCGTCAAACATGGAAGCCCAGGCATAACCACTTTGTGAGGCACACGGACGTTAAACCAAAAGATGAGAAGAGAATGACAGTTAATGAAATTGCTAATCAGAAGATGGCTCTTCAGAGAGTTAATGGGTGGAAGGTAAGAAATGATGTAGTTGTGTTAAAGGGATATAATAGAAATGTGTGCAAGATAGTTTGTGGAGTAATTTCTGTAGAATGACAATGATTTGGTGAAAGTTTCCCTAAACATTATACTGTACATATTCCCTACTACCTGAGGGGGCTGTAATATCTTTTTTAAATGTACTTGCCAAAAAATTATTATTAGTTATAATTATAATGTGCGTTATACCACATGAAGACCTAGATACTGTATATTAAAAGCTTGGTAAAAGAAGAGATTACTCAAGTTCAATTGCAACAATTGTTGAGCTGTGAAGTTTAAGAGGCATTAAAGATTGTGCACGATAAGAGGAAGGATATTTCAAAAATTAGAAAATGAGAGGCAGTGGATGATCTCCACTAACCAGAAGTGGAATAACTTTATCCAATGTTAATTAAGGTCAATTCCAGTGGATGATCTCCACTGGAAGTAGACATCTAGGGGCCAGTTTCTAGGGACAACGGAATGAAGTAGAATGAGCTCGTCTAGGTATTGAAACGTATGGGACTATAAAAGCACTCGTGTACAGTGGGTAAGGATGGGGGTTCATGGGCTGAATCTTGCTGCCTAACTAGGTACAGTATACATGTGGCCACCCTGTCATGTGTTCAAACCATCTGTCCATACCGTGTCCATAATACAATTTGTATTTTGTGAACAAAAAAAGCTATATTCGTGTGAATAAAGGCAGCATCTGGGATGATCTCGGACGTAGGTTCAAATCCTCGTCACGGCCCTTGTGGCTTTGTTTATTCATGTGAAACTCCTGACTTAAATATTTTTCCTGTACTCATTTTAGCAATTTATGTACATTTTTATGACATTATATTATTATTTTGTAGTTTGATTCACAGCTGCTTAATATTTTTAATTCTGTCTTGGCAGATTGTTCACTTATCAGGTCAAGTAGACGATTTAGTGGAACTGGAATCTGAAGTTGTTGATCGCCTTCATATGCTCCTTAGCTCATTAGAAAAGAGAACGCATCCCCGGAAACCATACAAGGTAATATTACAATGCCTACTATTCTCCCCAGGCATTTGGCCTTCAGCTGCCCTATTATTTCTCCATATTCCTTTTAATTATGGATTCTCAATAGGAAGAATATCTTTGGGTTTTGCAGTCTTGTTTTTACAGGTTGCAACACTCGGTGAAAACTTACAGTATTGTACAAATTATATTTTTTTGGGGGGTCAATGGTACCAAATGGTGCATCCATATGTTTGATTCAATTGCAAGACATCATAAGTAAGCATAGCTAATTTTCCCTCATGGTGTGTGGGATAAACTTTAATGTGGCTTTTCATGCCTGGATGCATGCTGTGTTGCGTACAGGCATTATCTCCACTCCCCCATTAACACTCCTCAATTTGGTGACCAAGTACTAACCTGAAGTGAAATAACTTAATCCAATGTTAATTAAGGTCAATTCCTTAATTAAGGAATTGACCTGTTGATGAGGAACATTAAAACCCCTCAGAGAATTTAACTGATAGGAAAGAGGAATACAAAATCCATCATTTTGAAGATAACACCTCAAACCAAATTAGTGCAAAATATATTGTTACAACATGCCACACGCATGCCATAGAACATGATCATGATGTGTAAATTAAAAAAGAAAACATGCTGCTGCTGCTGTCAACATACACACTGATTTTTTCTGTTTTATAAATGCTTAAAACATTTTTTCAGTCCCAAAACTTTAATGAATTTTTCTCCATTAATTATTTTTGAAATGTGTTTTTCCTTGATTCAAATTAGATTGATATTTTTCAGGACTTTGAGAAGGACGTTAACAGATTGTCTGAGCTCGTAAAAGCTAATATTCAGCGATCCAAAATAATTAAGGACCAGATGTCTGAAGCAAGATCGCAGATGACCAAATTATTTGACCATAAGAGCAAAATTGTGGACATCATGACTAAGTACAGCAGTAAGCGAAGTGTGCGGAAGAAAGAAAAAAGTTGAATTTGTATGGTTATCCACAGATGAACATTACTGCATTGTTTGATATGAAGTATTATTAAAGTATTTTTGTTAATCTTTGAGCATTCATCCATGTTAAAAAGTGTACAACTTGTCCAGATTGAACCAAATTTATTTATTTATATTTAATAAGACTGATACTGAAATAATATATTTTTGATGCAGCCAGTTCCCATTTGTTTATCACTGTATAATACCCGTGACAGATGTGTCAAAATGAAACGGTATAAAATACTGTACAACAAAGCACGATATTGAGCAGAAGTTAAGTCTTTCCTAAATGCCTTTGTTTTTCCAGGTATCTTTACTGGATTAAAGCTTTCGGCTATAAACACTGGTGAATAACAAGCATTTAATTTGTTATAAGCAGTAATGTATTTGTATAGATACTCCTTAATTACGTTAATCTGTAAATTGGAAGACTTTAAACCAGCCATTGACGTTGTATCCTCATTGAGAAGTGTGTGAAAATAACTTGCAAATCTTGAATGAGAATTTGCACGTAGAGGTACGTAAAACAAGCTTTAAGAGAGTTGCATCTTTACGTGGATGCACAAGCAGTTGGCAGAGTGGTGTAATTGGGAACAGGTACTAACGTAAAATAATTATTTGTAGTAGTGATTTAACGATTATCACTTTGCATCAAATATCTTGTTTTAAACGTGTTGGCTTTTTTGTTAGTGCATCGTTAAATAGGTTAAGTGGCCAAAGGCTACCTCTTCCAACTCGAGTACAATTTTGTTTGTATATTGTACATAAAGAAATTTATTGTTTGCAATGCAAACCTATAGTTTGAAGCTTGCATATCAGTGGGTATATTGTATTTTATGGTCTTTACATGAGCTTTTTCAGTCACCTTAATTAACCTGTATGATTTTAATGGAATAGTCTTCCTAGTAAGACTGAATTGTTTTTCATTTGTAATGTACAGTTTTTGGAAGAGTTTGCATGTGCAATAATTATGCATAATTTAGTTTGCCCGTAAGAGTAAAAGAATTGGCAAGAACTAATTAAAAAAGAGCACAAGAGAAAGCGCAGCTAATAAATACAGTACTGGAAATAGGCAAGAAAACATGGCAGAAGACGTCTAATATCTAATGACATTGTTGAACACTGATAATGAACTACGCATATAGTTGGTCGTATTAAGGGTTAATAGAAAGGTAGAATTTGCTCTCCTTGCCCTCCACAGGAGACTGGAAACTTTCTAGGAAAGGACAGGAGAGCAGCACCTAATCTAACCTATTTAACGACGCTTAATATTTGTGAAGGTAAACAAAATAGAACACAAAAGGCATCTTAAGACCGGGTAGTCCCCATGACCCTGCACATTAGTATACGGTTCTGTGTTCCAGCAAGATGTGCAGAGCTTAGTGCTCCTGGTTCAAAACTTTCTGTATGTATTAGGGTCTGAAGGTCACCAACCATGGCCAGATCTGAGGAGGGGGGGGGGGTTAATTAATATTTCCCACTAATGTGTACTTCATTTGTAAAATATGAACCTTCAAAAGGGCTTGTTTTCAGAATGTATGTGTACATGTACATATTTGTGTGTGTGTGTGCGTGCGCATTAACATGAATGTGTATTTATAGTAGTATGTATATGTTTTAGTATACATGGTTATATATACATGTGTATGTATTAATACATAAATGTATGTTTACATATGTATATATAAGTGAATACATTTTCACGCTTGAAATGGTATATAAACATTGATGCATGTATGTGCACACACCCTTTTTGTATATATTTCTTCAGGCTTTTATATAACTACTGTAAATCACCTCAGACCTTCCATACTTAAAAAGGCAAACTTAAAGATAAATATAAATTTGTATATAAAATGGCTGTAAAATCACAAAAAATTGTACAAATAAATAATAGCAATATAATAAATTCTTACAATCCTTGAATGTGTTTTGAGTACTAAATCCACAATGATGAAATATTTAAAATAGACTATGCTTGTTATTGCAGGAAAATTTGAATTAACATGTACCTTAGTTAGCTTGTTGTAAGATGGTGAGAAACTGCTCTGGCTAGATTACATATACACGCACATAACTTGAGCTCCTATTTGTCCAAAACTGCATTTGTCCTATTTACTCTGCACTACCTTTTAGAATGTCCTGATTTTCAAGATCATTCATTTTGTTTTCCTAATGTCCCTCGATAGATTTCTTGGCGAATCGGATACCTTTGACGTCGCTCGTCTTGTGTCCTTTTTGTTCTTGTATTAGTATCCCGAGTGATATTTAGCACCTTTTGAACATCCTGTGACAGATATAAGTCTTCTTAACTCTACCCCTTATGATAATTACTTACTTAGCTTGTATAATTAAACATTTTTCAGTTTACTGGCCAGATTGTAACCAGCGTAAAATGTTTATACGCAAGTTGAGACATGGCAAGCCTGTTCCTTATACCCTGATGTAATGTTTTCCTTCCATCTTTCTCCACACCACCACCTTTTCTATCCCCTTCACCCCCCCCCCCCCATCTCCTCCTCCTTTCTTTACTAACATCTTCAAAAACCTTGAGGGCAAGATTTATCACAATACTTATAATTATTAGAGGAACTTAATTTGAATTTAGATAGATTGTTAGTAGACTTTGGTCTTCTGGTATTGCAGATTATAAGGCTGCCCAGTAGATGCTCTGAAATTTGTTACACACACACGGGTTTTATTGTGGTACATTTAGCAGATGATTCTGCTTATACAGTACTAGGTTTTTGTCAAAAGTGGTCACTAATTCATGGGCATTTGCTTTATTTACCTAAAAAATCATATTAAAAGTTGTGCAACTTAATCACCTCAGTAATGCTTAATGCATCCTAGATATCTGATTGCCTAACCTAACTATGTATCATTACATCCACTCTTGAGAGAGAGAGCGAGCTGTCTGGGGCTGATGATGATTTGCTTAAGTGTCATTTCTCATCTTAATTGGTTTCCAGTGAATCTTGTTGTGTTCTAAAATAGATTTCCTGTCACCAAGTGAAGCTTGTTGGTGCAAAATGACTACTGGCTTCTATGAGGAGCTTCTCAATGGCAGATTAGCTTTCTATGTGCCAGACATCCAAATGTGGTGGAAAATTTCCCTTTCAATGATGGCAGAATATGCCAACAGCATTCTAATAGTTGCTAGTTAATATGTAGAATCAGACAGTGTCCATAAATGATCATAATAGTATTTCTTATTCAATCATAATAGAAACAATATTTTTACTTGTGGTTGTCTGTTAATTATATTAGGAAATTCATTCCTAATCAGTTTCTAATTACAGGTAGTTGCATGACTTCATGCACACAAATAACAATTAGTGTCTGTTATTTATGTGTATGAAGACTGTGTTCACCACTTTTTAGCACATGCCATTTGTTCACTACACTGATACTGAACAAAAATATTTGTCTCTGGCTTGTTTGGGTACTTACTTAACACCTATGTACCCTTGTACCCTTACACCTATGTACCCTTGTACCCTTACACCTATGTACCCTTGTACCCTTACACCTATGTACCCTTGTACCCTTACACCTATGTACCCTTGTACCCTTACACCTATGTACCCTTGTACCCTTACACCTATGTACCCTTGTACCCTTACACCTATGTACCCTTGTACCCTTACACCTATGTACCCTTGTACCCTTACACCTATGTACCCTTGTACCCTTACACCTATGTACCCTTGTACCCTTACACCTATGTACCCTTGTACCCTTACACCTATGTACCCTTGTACCCTTACACCTATGTACCCTTGTACCCTTACACCTATGTACCCTTGTACCCTTACACCTATGTACCCTTGTACCCTTACACCTATGTACCCTTGTACCCTTACACCTATGTACCCTTGTACCCTTGTACCCTTACACCTATGTACCCTTGTACCCTTACACCTATGTACCCTTGTACTACCTATTCCAAATATAATAACTTGTCCATGTCTGTCCTATCAATTCCCATGAGGTTTTTGTATGTGGTAATGACATACGTCTTCCCTAACTTTTTCTCTTCCAGTGACGAGAGGTTAAATTTCTTTGTGGGTTCCCTATGGCTTGTCTATAACTTTATTTTTTTTAAGTGATGTATAAACTCTTTAGAAAACGAGACAGGTGGATATTGAAACACAATAACAATCAACAACATATATATATATATATTTATTCTAAATATAAATTACAAGATAGCATGTAACAAGTAATTTTAGATTAATCCACAGCCGGAAGCAGAACACTGCAGTAAACAGGTTTAGTTTAGGTATTATACACTGTACATCCATCCTTTTGCCATCGACTCATCGCCTTTATTTGATGATCATAAGATTGAATCATTTGACGATGAGTTAGATGACCCCCGCATTCTGGAGAATATTGCACTTGCTGGCAATGAACTTTGTGATCTCGTTGTGAGGTGTGTGAGTGTGGTGAAGAGCACCACACACGGTGCGGTAGAAGCCCGCCCTGTCCCGCCACGGTGACCCGCCATGTCCTCCTGTCCCCTCTCCCTGCGCCACCAGCCGGATGTCCGCGTCCAAACTTCCATGTTTGTGGGCTGGAGGATATGGATAGCCGGGTTTACGGGATGGATACCGATCACGAGGTGGATGTCGTAACACTGGCGTGCCCTGAGAACGCTGAGTGTTGACAGGTTGAAGAGGATGAAGATAGTTGCTGGCATACGGTCTACCGTTGGGTCCAACCACGGTTGATCCCGGCCGACCGTAGAATGGATTGTAGTAAGAGGTATGGTAGTTTCCGGTGAATGGTCTCGCGTCTACATCTGCTGAGTGTTCTTCGTGCTGTAAGATGATGTTGTACTCTGTATCATGTCCATATTGCGAATTAGAATCTTCTAATTCTTCTTTTGCATCTGATAGTTTTGAAGACATTGCTGAGGCATGTATACCATCAGGGAGGAGTGGAGACATGTCCCCAGGGCTGTAAGCTGTATCCCCGGTACGTGTGTGGTCTTCCTCACTCTCCCCTCTATCTGTCTTGCCAGGATCATTAACTGACTCCACGTTGATCTTATTGATGCTCTCCAAAATATCTTTGGGGATGGGAATGTGTTCGTTTAATTGTATTTCTTGAATGGAAATGTTCAGAAGCTTATCTTTGTTTCTGATTATGAATTGTTCAAGCTTTCTAAATATTTTTCTCGTCGAATTATCAGCTGGGTCATGTAAAGCTCGGAAAAAGTTTTCTGATCCGGGATTATTCAGCGTACCAGTCTTTATGTAGTTTATATAATTAACAAATTCATGCGCATTGTCTTGAGACAGAATGATGTGATCAACATTTCTCCTTCGGCGCCCTAAAAAGGGAATGGCAACGGCAGATGTGGCCCCGATTGCAAGGGCGGCAGCTACAACCAACGAACAGAGAGTGGTGGCTAGGCAGCCGGAGGCGCTGGTGGTGGGGGCGGAGCTGAGAACGAGGTCCGAGGACGGGGGTGCTGGAGGCAGGGGGACCCTAGGAGAACTTGCTGAAGTCTCCGCGGGGCTTTGGGGGCTATCAAAAGCTGGTACATAAGCAGCATCACCGAAATAGTTTGGCATATTTTCAAGACTTCCCTCTGGTGTTAATGAGTCATTTAGAGGATACTCTTCCTCATAAAAGTTCGATTGATCACTGTCTTCAAAATATTGATAATACTGTTGAAGAAGCTGTATGGGACTATAGGATGGATCTGTTGGGAAAGATAATGGTGTAGGGCTTGGAGAACTGGACTGAGTCTCGGAATATAACGGTCGAGAGCCGAAGGTAGATGGGAAAAGAGAATCAGAGGGCACTGGAGAACTAGTCAACAAGGAAAAGTAGTCTTGCTCGTTAGGATCTGCAGTAATAGATTGTTGCATCACATGAGGTAGCTGGTTGATAGTTTTAGGCGGTTGTAATGACGGGCTTGCGTCTGCCACATCATCTGATGCATAATTCCACATCTTGATGCCCTCGAAAGCTGAAGAACTCTGTGGCATATGCGAGACAGCAGGGTACTGGGACCGGGTTTGATTCTTGGTCGATACAAACTTTTGACTGTTGCTGCTGCTAGTATTAAAAGAGCCCCTAACTTTAAAAGGATATTGTTGTCGTACGTCAACTTCCCCGCCACCATTAATGGAATCCGATGTGATGGTCATGTTTTCTGAAGGAACGCGGTAAGAGTTGAAGTTTCCAAGACTGACTGGAACACCACGTAGTCCAGGGTTTCCGATCCCTCCAATAGGGCTGATATTGGTTTTATTTTTCTTCTCTTCGGTGACAAAATTTAGAGGCTTACCCCGAAAATGAAGGGCCATACTTCTGTTTACACTCTCGACTGGTACTTGCGAATTTTCAGGTACAAATTGCAAATGATGATTCCAAATGCTTGTAACTGGCACGAATCCTGGAACTCGAATTTTCTCTTGATTTGTTGACGCGAATTCAGACTGCCCTTGTTCATGCAGCGAGTCGCTGAATTGCAGTGGCTTCCCCATTCTTTTATTAGCATTATCGTGGTGTTGGAAGCTGTAATCAGCGAGATTTTCCTGTCGTGGTGATGGAGACGTGGCGGTGAAGACACGAGAGAAGCCAGGGGCCACTTCTTTCGATGCCGACTCTGGACTCTCTTGTTGTGAGATAAAGAAAGGGATGACTTGGGATGCTGTGACCAAGGTTGACGGAGTCGAGGGTGAGGCATATCTCCCCACTTGGTGATGACTGTGTTCGTTCACCCTATACGGGAAGTGTGTGAAGGAGTCCATGCCGGCATGACTTCGCTGCAGCGTTCTTGAAGACTCCTCGGCACTCTTCGAGCAGCACTCTGTCGTAATCGAAGGAACATTGTTAGCTTGTGTTTACTACAGATTTACTATTTGATATATATGTTACCTTTGCCAGCCTGTTTCTTAACAATGTGGTGGACCAAATACAGCCATTCATCACCCTCCTAAACTTACGTATAATGAGAATGAGTGAGATGTTTTCCCAACATCTAATGCTACGCCATTATTTACCGAGCTGAAGCATACTTACACTGCGACGCTAACACTATTATTGGCTCTCACATCGTCTCCGCAAAAACACTTCGCCTTCGTATGATCCACCGTCAACCTCCTGACAATGTCCCCTTTAACACCTTTGTTACGTAGTCATCTCCTCGGCTCTGTGCCTTCTATAACATTATATCTTCTTCGTCAGTCTCTCCCCTTTAGCATCCTTGAGCCTTGAACGGCTTAGGATTCGTTCCTAAAGGTCCGTTCCCCCGCAACACCATACATATCCCAACACGAACCATGAAACCCTTAATGTGTGCACAACTGGCTCAATATCCCAAAACATATAGAGACGCACATATGACCTGTACCATTTCGTGAACCATAAACCATTCGAGACTTCAACATCTGGCTCGCTATTCCTAAATGGATCATGAACACCAAGACACCTGCACAGCTGGTCCAATAATCTCTACAAACCAACATGGAGGCATTAGAGAAGTGAGTGAATATACAGGTTATGACATAGAAAACTCAATAATATCAGGACGTCGTGGCCAATACAGATGAAGGCCATCAGGTCAATTCATGTAAGTTTATTTAATAAATAATATAATGATCTGTGAAGTTGCAAGCATCAACGCAATTCCATACACACTTAAAAATCGGCGGTCCTCTGTATAGGGTGTTGATGGAGCATCGTCTAACGTGGTGATGTCAGCAGGTGAGGCTCTGACTCCGTTAAGAGCAGCTGCCGGTTGCGTGCCGTTAGGCGCAGCTGCCGATGGCATGCCGTTAGGCGCAGCTGCTGGTTGCATGCCGTTAGGCGCAGCTGCTGGTTGCATGCCGTTAGGCGCAGCTGCTGGTTGCATGCCGTTAGGCGCAGCTGCTGGTTGCATGCCGTTAGGCGCAGCTGCTGTTTGCATGCTGTAAAGTGCAGCTGCCGGTTGCGTGATGTTAAGGGCAGCTGCCGATTGCAGGAGAATCATCAACAGCATGCAGTTGATGAATGGTCGCAGCTGGCCTCCTGGAAGCACACCGAGCAGCATCCTGTAACATGTTCGAACACAGGATAGAATCTCAACCTTTTAGTTAGGTGTGTTTTGCTTACAAATTTTGTAGACTATTAACAAGGACGAGAAACAATTCGAAAATGACATAGGTACTAAAGGATATGCATAAAATAGGAACATAAGAATAGAGGATACTGTGAAAGGTCAATTGGCACACCAACACACATGCCAGTCTAACCTAGGCTTGGAATAACCCAACGACCCATCGTCTGTTACCATTCCCGGCAACTTATTTCCAGTAGGACAAGGACGAAGGGACACAAAGGGGGACGTCCCCTTCGAAGTGACGAAGGGACGTCCCTTCGAGGGGGATGCATGGGAGTAAGGTAAGGTAATTATCAAGAGAAAACGCTAAGCCAGTTCGACTATGTAGCACTTGGAAGGGATCAGGATAAGGATTTGAGATGGGACGGGGGAAAGGAATGGTGCCCAACCACTTCGACGGTCGGGAATTGAACGCCGACCTTCAAGAACCGAGACCGTCGCTCTACCATCCAGCCCAAGTGCATGGGGGTGGTATCAGGAAGAGCAGAGCGCAGGGCCAAGACAAAGGAAGGCATGTGGGGGTGGGGGGTAGACCAGGACGAAGGAACACAAAGGGGGAAGAATTACGACGAGATAACGGAAATGGAAGCCAAACACCCAATTCAGCCAAAGTCATTTAACATGAAGATATTGAGTGGAACGCCCTAAGAAAGTAATGGAGACATACTCCATAAACAACTTCATAAGTACATATTCTATAAAACGCATGAGAATTGGGAGGAGACACATTGGTTGATTAATTATTTAGAGCAGATGTCAAGTAGCTGGAGCTCACCTCCGGCAAGCACAATTATGTGAGCACACACACATGAGGCTATGAAGTCATAACAGTTCTATCGATGGGTATAAGACGGAGCCCAAGAACAAAAGGTAGTTTTCTACAGGCAACATACAGGTAGGGAGTACAGTACATACAGGTAATGAGAATATGTAGACTGAGACACAAGCCTAGCATTATCCAAATAAACCAGTGGTTCCCAAACTCTTTACGACCATTACCCCCCTTTTCATAGCGTCCTTATTAATGGCCTCCTACACTCAGTATTACACAAAATTTAGCAACTTATGAGCTCACTCCACTAGCTGGTTATTTCCCCCCCATCCTCTTGTATCATAACCTGTATACTACCCCATAAGTTGAGGGCCATAAGTTGAGGCTTCCCCATAAGGTTCCCCAGTCTGGGAACCTGTGATTTCATAACGTTTGCAGATTCCTCTTATACAGTACCTTCTACCCATACAATATAAGATTTATTTGAGAACAGGGCAGAGTTTTAGCTACGTCGCTGTGCACGCCTTCCCTGCCTTACTGTTTGACCCTTTCACCTAAGCAAATATCGTACAGAAACCAACAGAACAATACATCACTTACTTTTCAGTGCAATCAGGTTTTCAACGGAGAAACTTTTGTTGTCAATAAGTCACCAAAGCGTACCTGTTGTTCTTGTTTTAGATTAAGCTTCTCAGGAGGAAAATCCTGAATCACTTGGTCAGAATAAGAGTGGACACCAGTCAAGTCGCTTCACTCTTGTATTTCCACAATATCTGTCTGATCACCGGGGACGAGTTAGCACACAACACTGACCTCACCGTCTTGTAAATGGACAGAACAATGGTCAAGGCCTGTCAGAGGCTACCACGTTGCTCCGCTGACGAGGTGGGTGCACCACTGGTCTTGACCACGGCGAAGCAGAACTGAGAAATCCAGGCTGATGACCCACTCCCCCAGGCACGAGCAGAACGGCGTAGCGTTAGGAAGATGTTGGTTATCTCCGGCAGCCAGGTGTTATTACCTAACTAAAGAAAGTGTCGAGACAATGGACGTGCCTCCCTGTAGCCTACCATTATTGTATACCTAAATGTGATATGCAAGGAGGGTTCAGTCCCTGAGCCCATTATGTACCTGTTAACTCTTTCCACTACCGCCCACAAGATGGGTGTGGGGTGCATAATAAATGAACTAAACTAGTCTCTAAGCACGAGGCAACTGCTACAATTTTAAGGGCTTAATTTTGTAATGAGGTTTGGTATTTTCGATTGAAACTTGACCCTCAAAACTCCGCTCCCACTAAAATAAATCTTTCTGATTTCTAGTGCGTGTAAACCAACTCTATATAATCAATGTCATTCAGTAGAGTAAGCTCCGGCTACCTTTTCACGCTTTGTTGAGTATAAAATGTACGTTCCTTCAGTTCACAATGACGATATATTTTTATCGCGATTAAACATGCTGTTTTATATATAGTAAATATCTGAGACGAGAGAATCTGTTTTTTTCTTCATGCATCTAATCTCAGCAGCTTATATCACTATTCCAACACTGATCTGTATTTCTTATATCAATAATCTCTCAAACGCAAAAGAAAGCCAAAATTATTATCCTACGATCACCAAACCTGTCAACAAGAGGAGAAATGATGGGAGTGTGGACGGTGCTGTGTTGATCACCACTGTCTAGTGAGTTGAACTACTAGACAGTAGTTTAACTCACCACTGTCTAGTGAGATGAACTACTAGACAGTAGTTTAACTCACCACTGTCTAGTGAGATGAACTACTAGACAATGGGAGTGATAATATACAACTAGACAGTGAGATCAAACCATGAGGCCGAGCGGCCATGTCAACAACTCCCTCGAACAGACAAGACGGAAGACTGCTAGGTCTCTCTACTACACAAGAACTAACCTATTTTGCACTTGAAGGACAAGCCGAAGACCTATCGAAGGTACGGTAACACATCCAAGAACTACAGTAGTGTACCTTACTAACACCAATCCGTTGCAGATGACTAATTCAACTGACCGTACATAGTAATAACACAATTCTAATCAATTCAAGTAATAATCACAATTCTAATCAATTCAAGTAATAATCACAATTATAATCAATTCAAGTAATAATCACAATTCTAATTTTAAATTAGAATGGAATCCATAGATTATTCAAGTACAGTATAGGTTATACATATTGATCGCTTACGGGCTAATAGGCTTTCTACAGTTTCCTCCACATGTGTTCCTTCTATGTCTCTGCACTAATTCATCCATTGCATTCAGAATATTGCATAAATTAGCATTATATTGTTTAAAAAGGGGGTAATGTTGATGCGTTATTATTTAGGTTGGCTATACTAGTGAGGCAGCAATCCTCACCATTGTTTATACACATAAAATATGATTGATGTTGAGAAGGGGAGGAGGAGCCACTGTGATAGTCCAGCTGTTCTTGCTCCAGTCGATCTTACCAACCTTCTGCTAACCTACTTAACTTAACCTTGCCTGCCTTAATCTAACCTAACCTATCTTTACCTAAATTAACTTGCCTTAACCTAACCTAACCAAGCCTGCCTTAACCTAACCTAACCAAGCCTGCCTTAACCTAACCTAACCTAATCTATCTTTACCTAACCTAACCTAACCTAATCTATCTTTACCTAACCTAACCTAATCTATCTTTACCTAACC